TTATTATTATTATTATTATTATTGCATTACGTAAATTAAAATCCATTTTAATATATCACATAATAAAGGAAGGAAGTTAATCATCTATAACTAAATTTTGATAATTTGAACATGCGACAGTTTTAAAACTAACATACTCTTCTCAACAGCAACAAAAATAAATACCATTTCCATAAATTGAAACTAATTCCTCCAATTTTGATTCACCATAAAACATTAAAGATTCCTTTGGCCATTCATATTTTAACATTAACCATTTTTGTTGAAAGATTATTTGACTTTTTAACCTTGAGTTGTCAAAACATCTGAATCTTCTGTTTAACCTTTCAGTAATTTTATATTAATATTTCACAAATCGTTTTCGACTCTTTCTGCCAATATCAATACCAATTTCTGTACGAAGCTATAGCAATTCGTCTCCATCCTATGTTGTATGAAACTATAGCAGTTCGCCGCCATTCCACGCTGTATAAATTTAATGGTTAGAAAAAATAATTATTCTGAATTAATTAAATTACAGATGCTTGGAGAATCCGTGCAATAAATCATTGACAATTTGTTGAATCATTCATTTATGTTATTATGAGCAAAAATATAGAACTATCAAAACACAAATCAAAATTCATTGTATTTAAAATATATTAGCAATTTTTTTTATATTTTTATATAGCAGAATAATAATAATGTTTTAAATGCTTTAAGATCATTCTTCACGAAGATGGATTAATTTTGTTACGTTCATAAAATTTTAAATTTATAAATAATTTGACCCTATTATAATTATTGAAAAAAAATTTAATTTATATATGAATTTGACCCAGCTGCGACAGTAACTTATCTATGAAGTTTGCGGGGTCCTATTACCAGCAGCCATTTCTATTTGATGTAAAAGTTAAATAAATGTTTATAGGAAATGATATATAATACAACATATGTGAAGCATGTCTATGCATATCCGTCCACTATATTATATAAATAAATAAATCATTGCACTCAAATAATAATATATATGTGAACTGAATTGGAAAGATTGGTTGAAGAGCAGGTAAAAAATACATATTTGTATTATGTATTTATATATG